TGCAGTTAAGCCCAGGAAAGCGGCTGCTGGGCAGGCTTTCCCCATGCTGTGCCGCTTGGGCCATGCAGGGTCGGCTGGGCCGGCACTGGGGAGGGGAAGCAGCAGCTGGGCCACAGCTCCGGTCCAGTCAGCACCAGGGAGGAGAGGTGGTGGCGAAGCTGTGTGCCACTCAGGACAGGATGAGCCCAGCCAGAGCAGCAGGGGCTCGGCTGTGTTTTCCCCCTACCTTCGCCGGTCAGTCCCGAGTGGCACACAGCTCCGCCCCGTTTCTGCTGGCCAGTGCAGACCCAGCCGGGCTCGCCCCATGCCCAACAGCACATGAGAAGCTGGCTTCAGCCCCATGCTGCTCCAGATAGGACAGAGCTGGCCCGGTCTGTACCAGCCAGAAAAGGTGGCATGCAGCTGAAGTCGCCTCTTCACATGCTGCTGGGGATGAGAGGAGCCCAGCCGGGTCTGCACCGGCCGGCAGAAGCACATGGCTCCGCTGCTGCCACTCGGGACGGGATGAACCCGGGAGGGCTCAGCTGCACTTTCCCCCTGCCTCTGCCAGTCAGTTCTGAGCAGCACACAGCTCCGCCGCCACTTCTGCTGGCTGGTGCAGACCCAGCCGGGCCTGTCCTATCCGGAGCAGCACGAGGCAGAAGTTGGCTTCCCACGTGCTGCTGGGGACGGGAGGAGCCCAGCTGGGTCAGCACCAGCCAGCAGAAGCGACGGCAGAGCCATGTGCTGCTCAGGACTGACTGGCACAGGTAGGGGAAAAGTGCAGCTGAGCCCCTGCAGCTCCAGCCAGGTTCACCCCATCCCGAGCAGCACATGGCTCCGCTGCCGCTTCTGCTGGCCAGTGCAGAATAAGCCTGTTTAAAAAAACAAGGTTCTAAGCAAAATCTACTGCAATAGAAACTATTCAATGCATCTCTCAAAGGTTAGCTTGTCTTATATAGCTTGACTGTTTCAATTTTCTAATATAAAAGGTAGGTCAATTATTTGTAGCAGACAATTATCTATAGCAAAACTTCATATTACGTCTCCAGGAAGGGTACAATGGTGTAATCATACCCCCTTTCAACTGTGTTGCACACATACATTAAGTTTTCCACCACTAAAAGCTCTGGTCTTGGCTGCCAGTCAATGCAACCAATCACGCACTCCACCCCACCTACCTTTTCAAAATCTTAAATTGGCTGTTCTATGTCCCATAGGAAACCTTGCTTATTGATTCCCAAAAAATAAAACCTGAGTCTCAGTCTGAGTTTTTACTGAATAGTTTTATAATAGACTATGCATAACTGATGACTATGAAATGCGGGCTTTTGGAAACACTGGAGAAAATTTGTGCAAACAGTGCATTGTATCATACTATTTTAAGCCATGAAAACTGGTAACATGGATCATTTGGGAGAAAAAAGTTGCTACATCAAACTTTTCAATTCGGGGGCTGGACTCGATGATCTTCTGAGGTCCCTTCCAGCCCTAATGTCTATGAAATAATGCCTATGAAATACCCTCATGATGATTTACACTCTATAAGCAAATTGGCTGTGCCATACTGAGCATACATTAACATTTGACAAAATAAGATATTATCTTCATTGCTATTTTGGAAGTTGTCCCCACATGTTTGCAAGTAATGCTCTGTTGTTAAAAATTAGATCAAGAGAAAATATGTAACAAAATTTGGGAATACCATGAAAAATTTTGGTAACATCATTTAGACTACAACAGTATTTTTCTTCTTTGGAACTCAATGAGATGCATTTTTTCATTACCTGAGTTCGTAGTTGCTGGATTTCTGTCTCCAGTTCTTTTATTTTCTCCTCTCGTTTCTGAAGCTCAGTCTGTGCCTCTTGTCGAGCACTGAATTCTTCATCAAACTGCAATGACCAGCACCATTACATTAGAGCACTGATTCACTTATGCCCACACTAAATACTGTAGTTCTAGGAAAGTTTTAAATCTATTGCATTATATAGTAACAGAAGCACTTTTGGGCCATTACAATGATTGACCAATTGGCAACAACACGCAAGATACCTCTTCTGGCCATTTGGTATTCATTTAGTGGTCACTGAAATCCAGCTATATCACAAATTGTTATTGTAAACCTGAAAACTTATACTCAGCAATTTTACTAAACAATTTATAAAGACTATTTGTACTATTTTAACTTTAGCAAAGTATTCCGAACTACTGTTAAAAATAAAGTATGCCCTTGGGGTCTCTGACTGCAAATACCTCGGTTTTAAACTAGTAAACTATTTTGCTTTTGATGCAGTCTCCCTCCCCACTTTCTTAAGAAGTGGTCTAAAACCACAATAATGCTTCATATTCATATGTAACATAGGGATGCTAAAACTTGCACTATATTATCTAATCCTGCAAATATTAAGTTGTTACAAAGGGTATTTCCATGGTTATTTTAAATTACCTCAGTAAGTAAACAGAAGATAGTAAGAGTATGCTTTAATACCATTTCAAGTGTAGTAACTTCTGTAGGTAGCATAGTTTAATAGGAGAGCTAAAGTCTTGTCTCTTAAAATTATAAAATTTATTTAAAAGTTCATTGTCAGGTAAATGGCATAGTGAAGCCTTGTAAATTAGGTTTCTCAGGAGAAAAATCAAATAAGTTCCACATCCTAGAAGTTCGTGAGTATGACTGAATAAAAAGAAGCAAAAAAAAATTCGGCAGGAATAGAATGTAATATATTCTGAAGATGCAGATCTGAAACTCATGATGTAGTATTTACTAAATTTACTGAAAGATGTGCCTCAAGCAGACATGATAAAGCCTGATTTGGAAGCCCAGTTTGATATACATCCCTTTTCTAAACCTAGTACTAAAATAATTTCTACTCTAATGCATGGGAGGAGGGGGTATTATTATTTTACTTTTCTTCACTTCAGCTTGTGTAAAAACATCAACTTTCCTAGAGAGGATTCCTTAAAGCTTTCTCCCCCCTTACATAAGAATATAAAATGTAATATCTGTGACAAATATCCCAAGATCTCATTTATAAATCATGCTAGAGGAAATTCTGCACACAGACAAGCATCCAAATAGTTATATTTCCTCCAGAGTTCAGGCATCTATAATGTTCTGATTTAAATGACATCTAGAAAAATATTAAGGGCAGAACTAAGTGAATAAAAATACCAGCACATCTCACTGGAATTATGAAACTGATGTATTTCATGTTCCAGAAGAGACTTTTTAGGGTAAAAGAGGATTCTTAGAAGAGATTAGCATTCAGACCATGGGTGTATGCTGTCTGTACTCAACACTGTGGAACAGCAGCCATTTAAATTTCAAGGCTAGATTATATATCCAGCACTTAGGTTTAAATAAATAAAAAAAAAGGAAACACTACCAGACACATTCTAATTATCCAGTAACATACTAACTGAAAATTACTTTACTATTTTTGGTTTAGTACCATTTCTCTCTGCAAGGCTGTTCATAATATTTGACAAAGTAGACTGTAGCTACTAAAGCTCATGCCTCACAGAAGACTGAAGTGCTACAGTACCCTGCATACTGTACAATTTGAGGTCAGTGCACAGAAAGAGTTTCTGAAAAATTCAGAAAGTACTCTGAAAATGCCACGTGCCTAACTTTGACATGTGGAATGTACCAACTTTGAGAAAGCAAAACGGCAAAAAAGGGATTTTTTATTTTTTTTAAATAAATAAATGGGAAATCAACTCAATAGATATTACTGACATATAAATCATTTCAACTCCTTTATTCCTAATAAAGAAATAAGGATATATATTTCAATAATATTTAGTAAAAGATTCCTTGTCAATTTTAGCAATATATGCCACCACCTATAAAGGTGAAAATGTAAATAATACAAGATAGCAATATTTAGCATACAGACAGACATAACATTCTAAGAATGTCACTGATTGGGAACCAGTTCGGATGTGTTCCCACATATATTGCCAAGGCTTCTAAGTAGATCAGTCACATTCTAGGTAATGCAGTGCTGTCAAACTGCCACTAAGGGGTGATGATAGTGAATACCCAGACTAACATGTCTTTCAGCAACATTTTTGGGCAGAATGCCAAAAATACCCACAGCTTCAACTTGTAAGATGTTGGCATGCCAGAGGTGGGACAGTAGGGGAGCTGCGAGGGGCCCAATACTTGTTGTGGCAGTGCAGCCCCAACCCCTTCCCAGCTGTCTGTTCTGAGGCATATGTGCCAAGCAAAATGCCTTCACATGCCACACACTGGCACCTGTGTCTGGGGCTGCCTACCCTTGGGCTAGTGCCCCAGTTCCCCATTATTCCCTAAGCAGGGGAGGAAGACAAAGATGATGACATCAGCTTCCCCCATGATGGCAATTACCTGATCCCCTTTCTACCTAACACTGAGTTCAATAAAGAGCAAATCAATAAAACACATCCATCCAAACACACTTTACCAAAATCTGTGTGGTGGTACACTGACTGGGAGCAAAAAAGTGTGAGTGGGTGGGAGGAAAGAGGGGGTTGCTTAGAACCCCGCTTCTGGGTGCTTTGGGGCTGTCAGAGTTTGTGTCTTCAAAAATATACTTTTCCCCAAACAACTCAATTTAGTTCAGTTCTTGGCAAAATGTGCCAGGGTTCGGTGCATCACAGACTGATGTGGGGGTAAAGGGGTACCAGTTAGTTAAAGGGCATTACCTGGACACTAACTTCTCTCTTCATTGGTAGCTGGATGCTCCAGGGAGCGCCCCAAGTTCTCTACTTTAACTGCCAATGAATGAAATTAACTAGTGCCTTCTACTGTTTAATAGTTACAGAGATGCTGGGCAGCAACCCAGGAACTCAGAAGTAGGGGTACCTTCTCTACACATCTGACCACCCTCCCCCCCCGCCCCCCCGCAACAGCCCAAATCAGCCTGGAGTGATTTGGACTAGGTAAAATCCAGGTAACACAGGTTGGGACAGCAGAGTTCTGGATGTGAGCCAGAGTAGCCACTTGCCGTGCAGGAGTTGGGGGTCAGGAGGGGGGAGAAGATAAAGAGCAGTGACGTGTAGGATGTCCAGAGGACTAGCTAAACAACAGTCACTGAAAGCTTGCTGTTCACTTGTATGCCATGATGCTGGCAGCTTAAACAGCATTTAAAATGTTTTAAGTATTATATCCATCTGCACCCTTAAGAGTAGGTATTAGGTGTGTGCGAAACAGGCCATATTCAGTTTGGATTAGGATTCAGCCCAAATCGGGGACAGTGATTCAATTCATTGATTCAGATCACTGTCCTGATTCAATTCAGCCCAATATGGAGATTCAGTGCTGATTCAGAGAATCAGCAATTCAGCCATACACACAGCTTTAAATGTTTTTTCTACTTACCTCGAGATACCAGGCGCAGCTCGTGAATACTGCAATGGTCGGACGGATGAAGCATCTGACAGGAGCGTGGGGGGAGCCCCACGCACTTGGCAGCAAACCTGGCTCAGCGATCGGCCGCGGGGGAACCCCGAGTGCCCCCCCAGACCCAGGAGGCACCAATCGCCAAGCTAGGGAGACATG